AGTCATCAGAGCGGTGTCAGAGGGCTTTCAAAGCCTGTTCTCATCCGAATCCCCACGGCACGGGCCACTGGCATTCAGCGAGACTGTGTGTCTTTTTAAAGGCCGCTCCCATGGGTCTTAAAACACATGAACGTAAGCAATCGCTCCTTAGCTCATCAGCCCACACAATCAGGAAACATGGGGGTAGCTACAGGAGCACTGTGACAGATTCGGCGGGCTAGTGGGACTCTTTCAGCTTTTTGTCCCTGGCTGAGGCTCATATCTGCTGCAGCTGAGCCCCCTGGACAGCCCGCAGGGAAAGGGGGGATAGCAAAGGCCAGGAGGGGACAAAAGGTGCTAAAAGGTTGAGTGACAATGAGAGAGAAAGATGTCAATCACTGCACTGTGACTAACTAAAACTAACGTATATACGGTTTTTCTGATCTTAAAGTGCCCCTATTATGGATTTTAGAAAATTACCTTTCATGCAGTGTGTAACACAGCTTTAAGTGAATGAAAACATCCTGCAAAATTTTAAATCTGAAAGTGCACCTTGTATTAAGATATTGTCTCTCAAAAGAAAGAGTCGACTCTGAATCATTGAAACGAGTCATTTTTAAAACGAATCCCAAGCCGTTTCATATTGACGTCAGGCATTACAGGTATGATAAAATGAAAACGAGACCAATCGGACCAATCACCGCAGATTAGCATCACACAAAGAAGGGGTTTGGAAAAATGAATCATTGAGCGAATCGTTTGGGAGTCGTTGAGCAAGTAAGGTAAAAATAAATGCATATTATAAGACAATGAAAGTGTAATGCCTACAAAAACGGCTGGTAGAGACTACAACGAGTTACTTCCCGGGTTCGTGACATCATAAACCCAGATAAACCCCGCCCCCCGGGAAAAGGCAGCAAAGGGGGGCGAGGCCATGCGGCGCTGCTTTAGAGAAGAGGAAGAGAAAACTAGAAGTGCACGTAAAAATCTATTCATATATGAATCGCGATTCTGTCTTCTAACGATTCTAATAGATTCACAAGTTTCAAAATCAATGTTCTAAAGCAGCGGTTCTTAATACTGTTCCTTGCGTCCCCTGCTCTGCATCTCTCTCTCATTCAGCTCAGCTCCAGCAATGAACTGCTACAATTATACACTTATTTTCACATAGCTATGAGAAGCGTTAAACATGGACGCGTGTGCAGTTGCTGTATTGTATTAAAGCTTTAATCAGGATAAAACCGTATATTAAAAGCTAACATAAGCAGTAGCATTTACAAATAACAGCTTATCTAAAAGTATGAGACCACAACAAACAAAAAAACATAGGCCAAGCATTAAAAGCCGTGCCCAAAGCTGAATTACCAGCAGTCATTACTCCAGTCTTCAGTGACACATGAGCTTCAGAAATAATATTAATATGCTGATTTGGTGCTCAAGAAACATCATTATTATTATCCATGTTAAAATGTTGGACTTTTTTTTCAAAATAACAGCATTTATTTTTAATATAAATCTTTTGTAAAATTATAAATGTCACTTAATCTGTTTAATGCATCCCTGATAGATAAATAAACACATTTTGAAAAAAAAAACCATCTGACTCAAAAATTTGCAGTGTATTACATCAGTCAAAAAAGACAAAGTATGTGTTTTAATAATAGTGCAATAGCCAGACATCTGATATTAGAGGATAAAGAAAAATTTTCATTTGTTCACAGAGCGATGAGTTAAATGCTAAGCATCATTGAAAGTGGAGACTGTCTGTCTATCACTCTCCTGATAGAGTTTAACTCGACAGTGAGTGAGCAAACACTGAAGTACAGGTATCACACTCATGCTCTCTGCATTAGCAGTCAGATCTCTGTGGACTGCATTGTCCGTGGTCTGAGAAAATCCAGCTGCTGTGCTGACAGCTTTTAAAGGCTCTGAGTGACACTTCTGTGACAGTGTAAGCCGACATGCAACCTAGTCAGCCCAGCCACTGGAGGAATTTGAGTTGTTCCAACTGGCACAGAAATAGAATTAACACCACATCTACACCGGACGCGACACAATACAGTAGAACCCATTATAATCAGTGATGCTGTCTACAGTGGATGTGGCGTGACACAACATGACAAATCCCTGACAGTAAACCGATGCTTTGTTCTATTCATGACATACTGACTCAAAGTTCAAATGATCTGCAACGGTTGCTTTGTTGTGTCCAGTGTAGACAGCCTCAAGTGGTGTTGTTGCAACATTTTTAAACATAGTTTTTGAGTTAGAAAGCATTAGAGCTAGCGGTTGAAAAAAATTACAATTAATGTTTTAATTATGTTTACATAAATATATATATATATATCACTACAGGGTGATGTGGAGGAGACGAATTGTTGAATAAAGTCGCTATTTTTTCTTTTCTTGCACACAAAAAGTATTCTGGTAGCTTCGTATAATTGCAGTTGAACCACTAAGGTCACATGGATTATTTTACCGATCTCCTTGCTACGTCTCTGGACTTGGGAACATTTCAGTTGCGTTGCTGTCTATGGAGGGTCAGACAGCTCTCAGATTCCATCAAAAATATCTTAAATTGTGTTCCGAAGATGAACGAAGGTCTTATGGGTTTGAAACGACATGAGGGTGAGTAATTAATGAGAGAATTTTCATTTTTGGGTGAACTAAGCATGTGAATTCTTTCTAAATTCAGAGAGCTATGAAATGCATCTGAAATTAATCTGATCCCATTGACCAGACATTTTTTACATTAAAAGCTTGTTTCAGCCTTTAATTAAACTCTGGCTGACGATCTCAAAAAAGTTTACATCTGTGAAAATTCCCTTCATGAAACTGATGACATTGTATTGTCCCTTTTATACCTCAAATGGCACTTTTCCACTGCATGGTACGGCACGATACGGCTCGGTACGGTTCACTTTTTGGGGGTTTTCCACTGGGTACAGTACCTGGTACTTTTTTTAGTACCACCTCGGTTGGGGTTCCAAGTGAACCGTACGGTTTCCAAAACATGATGTGTAAACTCTGCTGATCACAGATTGGCCGGAGAGAATCGTCACTATCTGCGTCGCTGAACTTGCGACACAAACATAAAAGAACCGCTAGATTTAAATCAGCACAGCCAGCGAAGGATCGAACGCAACCGTTTTGAACGAGCGCATCTTTTTTTAACAACCAAAAAGTTTTGTTGTCTGTTGCGGAAGAACAGACGTTCCTCTCGTTGATAGCAGAGGAGCGGATCCAGCGAGAGATTGATGGGGATACGCGGAATGAAAAAGTTTATTTTAGGAGTCGTGGTAGTAGAGGCAGCACAACTATAACGACATGTGAATAATCCCGCCCACTCTAAAGCGCTACTGAACTGCAGTGGAAACGCGAACCGTGCCAAGCCGAACCGTGCCGTACTGAGCCGTGCCGAGCCGAGTCGTACCACGCAGTGGAAAAGCGCCAAAAGAGCAGGCAAAAGCACGCACATCGATCTCAACTGGGTGCTCGACTAAGAAACAAGTGGAAAATGTTTTTAAATGTAAAGTCGGCAACACCAAAGCTCCAAAAGTATCAAATTTATTTTAAAAGAAATGTTGCATAGCGTGTGTGATGTTTTGAGCACGCAGGCTCTTCATCAGACAAATGAACAACACTGATGTTACCAATCTTTATAGGCCTACCTCCAGGTGATCAAAGGTCACATGACCGTACAATATTATCATGATAATAATAATAATACCAAAACAATGACATATCAACCAAGGAGAAAAAAAAGTAAACAAACAAAACAAAACATATGAAGCTATGCAAAATACAATACAAATCTCAATGTATTGTTCAATAACATTAATTGATACCTGCCTACGTACATAAATTCAACTAATAACCACAAAACATTATATATAAATAGACATCTTGTGTTTAAAGAAATGGACGAATATCAAAGTCCTCATTTAATCCTCTAGGGGTTATACATAGTACATAGGCATTGAGGTAGATAAGTGTCGCGTAGGTGATATCAACAAATTGCTTTTACAGCATGAGGCCTTCTGGATTTATACACTAACCACATTGTCCCCTAGAGGATTAAATGAGGACTTTGATATTCATCCATTTCTTTAAACACAAGATATCTATTATATACAGTATTATAAATGTTTTGTGGTTATTAGTTGAATTTTTTCCCCCTTTTATATCTCCTAATGGGAGAAGCCTCAAGAAGTGTTTAGATTACCAAAAACATTCAAATGTATATTTTAACGTTTAACGCCTCACAATGCTCAAGCACCTTTTTATCCGATAGCAACTAATAGTCATGTGCCCTTCACAAACACACATAGCATCCTGCTGCTTTTTTGTCCTTCCTCGGCTGCATCCACATCAGAGGACTCAAAGGTTACACAACACTTAAAAAAATGTAAACCAATAGCCTGATGGTCATAAAAGTAACTTACTTGCATGGTGCAGATTAGTGGAGTATGTAACACAGGACAGATTCAGTTTTCAAACAAAATCCAGACGAAACAAAAAGGTCAAGGTTTTACCCAAACCCTTACACAGAGTCCCGACAAAAGCCTTCCTACCATTGAATATACCCATTCACTTACTCCATCCATGGAATAATTGGCATTTCATGTTCTAATCCTCTTGAAGGCTGATTTGGACTTAAAGGGGTCATATGATGCTTTTTTAAAGATCATTATTTTGTGTATTTGGTGTAACAGAATATGTTGACATGTTTTAATGTTCAAAAAACACATCCTTCTTTCTTTGCGTGCACATTTGGGCGGCATTATGCTAATATTTCCACATAGTGAGGTAGATATGTGGGGGCGTGTTAGAACGAGCCGTTTTAGGGGGGTGTGGCAGAGTCTTAACTTTGATAAAGAATATCTCTTTTGTTTTGAGACTTTAGTCTTTGCAACTTCAGGGATCTTATCTATGCACAATCAGCTTGTAACACTCCAAAGAGAAAGGAAAACTTGAAATCGCATCATATGTAAATGTGAAAGAGTGGAAAAGAGACTCACCATAAGATTATTTGGAGCTGGTCTTTCTTTGGGTTGCTTCCTCATACTGTGGGAACAAAAGCAGAAGAGGTCATTGTGTGTGATTCCACGTATAGTAATGAATTATCCTCTGTTAATTCAAAAGGATGAACGCAAAAGAAGCATGTCAGAACTCCTTAAGGTATGATTGAGGAGGACAAACCTTGACTTTTTTGCTTTTGTTAATTGTATAATAAATAAAAAGAAAACAAATAGATAGAATACAAAAAGAATAGAGAAGCTAGTGTTAGTTTTTTTTTTAAAAAGAAAACAAGCAGTTAGTAAATGAATAGAGTTAAAGTTTAAAAGGGGCAAGTTTTTTTTTACAGTAATAGTGTTTTTCATCAAATATTGGCCAATTTATCTGTCAATGTATTGAAAGTATGACTCTCATAATAACACTAGACAGCAAGGATTTAATCTTTATATAGGCTTTTAAAGGTCTGATATAAAATATACTTTTAATACTCATTTTATCTTCCCCCCTTCAATACTCGTAACATTAGACAGGGTTTTTGTCCACAAAACTATTTCGATTTTTATTCAACTTCATTCTGACCTTTTAAATGGATTAGAATTAAATGGGCCAATTTTTGCTGCTGTGCTTTTAAAGGGTTAGTTCACCCAAAAATGTGTCAAATTCTGTCATTAATTACTCACCCGTGTGTTGTTCGAAACCCGTAAGAGCTTCGTTCATCTTCGGAACACAATTGAAGATATTTTTGATGAAATTGAAAGTGAAAGATTTCATAAAAAATATCTTAAATTGAGCTCTCAGATTTCATCAAAAATATCTTCAATTGTGTTCCGAAGATGAACGAAGGTCTTACGGGTTTGGAACAACACGAGGGTGAGTAATTAATGACAGAATTTTCATTTTTGGGTGAACTAACCCTTTAAAAGCACAGCAGCAAAAATTGGCCCATTTAATTCTGATCCATTTAAAAGGTCAGAATGTCAGGAAAAGTCAGGAAATCGAAATAGTTTTGTGCACAAAAACCCTGTCTAATGTTACGAGTCTATGCATGTACAATAAGTGTTCAATATATTTTGCACTGCACATCTCCTTCAATACCAACCTCTTAAGACAAGTTCACAAAACAATCCATGTTGAAATGTGCCACTGAAACTGTTAAGGTCAGACTGAAGTGATCAGGGACCTTGTGAAAAATAAACTTTAGTCACTCTGTTTGAAAGCATATCAAAGGACTTTATAGCAGCAGGTGCTGCACACAGTCAGCCAGAAACAGCACAAGATTTGACAAATTCAGGGTTCCCAGTCTTTAATGAACACCAGATGCAAGGACCTTTTCAAGTACCTGCCATCCAGTGTACATGGTGTACCTGAAGGCCCTTATAACACATCAAGTGTAATATTGAATATGTGAACATGCAAGCTCAGTATAGCAATCTTAATGCTTACAATTTGTCAAGATTTTCTGGGGTTGTTGTGCAATAGCCTACACAAGACTGAATCGGAATCGGAATTTGAAATCATGACTCACTGACTTTTGTGCCGCCTGTCTGACCTCACACAGTTTTTACTATCAAATAAAAAGTCATGTCTTCTGTCAGTGTGCATCTCACGTCGCCTGTGTAATATTGATACGTTGGTGAAGAACACTGGGTTTTCTGAGTTCATTTATCATGAATCGCAAACTCTTCATTAGGTGAATATACATATAGTCTGTAACAGTTTTTAACACCAGGCATCAAACACTTGCTGACTTTTTAAATAGTTAGAAATAAAACTGGACATCAAACACTAAATGACTCGGGATCACACACTACCAGACTTTCAAGTTGTTAAGAACACAACAAACTCAAACTCATGCCTTGTTGCTAAAAGATGTGACAATTGAAAACGAGGTGTTCTAAAATCAGCTCACAATATCAAACATGTTTTATTTTCTTCAGGCCGGATGGCCTCAAAGTCTGAAGCTAAAATAATGGAGTCTGTGACCATCATACAAGACATAGAAGTCGGCAAATGTCATGTAGTGTATTCCAACCTTCAGTTGAAGTACTAAAATAACTCGAACTAATAAATATGTATAAAAGAATAAATACTAAAAATGACAACAAAATAACTAAGCGAAACAAAATATAAAAATAAAATCTAATTCAAAATCTTACCAAAAGCTATAATAGTATATTAATGATGCTAAAATAACACTGGTCTGTATTACAACACTCACTTCAGTACCTGGGCCACAGACTGCTGATTGTCAGATGTCATCCAAGTTTGTGGGTTTTCCAGCTGACAGAGCATTCAATTACTTTCCAGTTCTTGAATCCGTGTCCGGAAATACTTTCAAGAGCATGTAAACCCTACAAATGGTCCCTCATTTTGCTCATATAATTCGTTTTTTGGGACTATCTCTACATTACTTCACTGTGACTATGCAGGTCACATGTCTGCTCACTGAATAAGCATAATTAACATGTAAATCACATTACATGTTCCTGCATTTAGGTTTCTGATATCAGCAATCCTAGAATAAGAGAACAAGCCGATTTGTAGTTTAGTGTCAATACAATAAAGAGGAAGTTTACAGTATGTTTTCTTAGTATTATGAGCAATCCATAAATCCCATATTTCTTAATAAATGCAGATTATGCATCCAGTATATCTTCTACACCATCTTTATCATTGCAATGTTGAGGTTAATATAACTGCATCTCAAAGTGATAAAGGGAGAGGTAAGTAATTATCAATTCTCCTTGGCGCAGATCACACCTAAGTGCAAGTAAATTAGTCAAGCTGACCCAGATAAGAAATGGGAGGGATTATAGGGACAGAGCGGCCTACAGAGGGGCCCATTTGGACCATGATGAATGACACACACACTCAGAGCAGGCTAATAATAGAAGAGGATGTTAGAGGAGCAGTGCCAGGCAGGGGTGGCACTAGTGAGCCAGGTGACCTGTTTGTGTAAATAAAGTGTGTTGCAGGTAAACATCAGCTGCTAAACAAATCCCAAAACATCTGGCTTCACCCACCATGCCCTCAGGCAAAAGAGGTTGGTGGGGAATTCTGGTTTCTTGGGGCATGACCTGTGGAAGGCAATTTTGAGTGCGGTTGTGTTTGAGAAAGCAAGGTCAGCAAACCAGGGACAGATGTTGGGTAAATATTTACTGTTGTGTATAGCTAGTCTAACTACTGTACTGTCTGGTGTGTAGACCCAGGAAAGGCTATTGTGTGTTAGGCCACTACATGTTACATGCTTTACACACAACTTAAGAGATTTTTTAAATGTTTTTGAAAGAAAGGCAAGGCTGCAATTATTAGATCAAAAATACAGTGAAACAGTAATATTGTGAAACTTAAATAACTCTTCTATTTTAATATATTTTAATGAGGCCAAGCTGAATTTTAAAACCATTACTCTAGTCTTCAGTGTCACATGATTCTTTGGAAATCATTCTTGTATGCTGACTTGGTGCTCAAGAAACATTTCTTATTATCAATGCTGCAGCCAGTTGTGCTGCTTATTATTTGCGTTAAAACTGTGATACATATATTATTTGTAAGATTCTTTGATGAGTAGAAAGTCCAGTATATACATAAACACACACAAACATATTTAGACATACAAAGGTTTCAAAGTGGGGGTTTGAACAATAAATCCTTATAATTTCTTGGCATAAATGCATAAAGTAACTTTCAGCTATCACTTTATTACATAATTTTCACAATCAGACATTTGGCAGCTTTGATTAGCTCCAGTATTTTTCATGTTCTAAATGCATTCAATTTTTTTTTTTTTTTAATAAAATGTTTTTATAGTTTGTGTTGTGGGTTATCATTACAATATTATAAGGATTTATTTATTTATGAGAGGTAGAAGAGAAGAAACAGGTGTTCAGTTGGTACTGGAAACACTCACCATTGTGTAATGAAGTGGACAAATTTCTCACTGAACTGACCAATTGGAAGCACCGGAGGATCCTAAAAAATAAACATAATAAACACATTATCAAAATTATTATTTACAAATATATCCACAACAGAATTTTAAAAAATGTAGTTTTTGTGTGGCCTTGACTAGTTTGCAGAAGGGTTACAGTCCATAATGAGGTATTTCATGTGCGGACATTCAAAAGCAGCCGTGTATATTAAATTTTCGAAGCACCTGAACCCCTCTTTTGTTGGACAGTGGACGATTGCTGATGCACAGAACATAGGACAAACACTCACAGACAAAAAGCGTACACTCTCAGAGCAAGACAGCCATTCATGTGCTCATAAGGCAGAAGGGCATACAGTTGACAAGAACATTTAGTTACGACCTCAACCTCCAAATAATGTTAACAGGGTAAGGAAATTAAATCAGATACTTCTAAAGAACAGACACATTGAAAGCAAATGGAACAAGTGAAATAAAGTCAAATTCCAGATCTATTTCTAACTGCGTAATTGTTGCTTTCTTGCATGTATTCAGACACCTCCGAGATCAAACTGAGATATCTTTGGTGTAATATAACTTTCTGGAAATTGGAGCCCCTGTTTGATCTAAGACTAGAGAAGAAAGGAAAAAAATGTGGCCCGTTTCAGAGAAAAGATTATTTGCATTACAACCATAACCATAATTTGTATTAACATGACCTCGGGGGAAAGAATTGATGACATCAACATGTTACACAGACACAAAAGCCTTGGTGTTAAAGACAGAATTGAGATTCAAGGTGTTTAGGAAGGACTGATGTATTGGAAGGGAAAGTGAATAGATTTTCTTTTAGGAAATGTCTGTTTGTGAGGGACAAAGAGAAGAAGAAACTGCTTTAACAGCCAGTACGAATTAAATTAAACATTTTTTGCACAATACAAGCAATCTTGTTGCAGTTTGAAAACACACACATACACATGGATAGCAGGATGACAAAGTAATGATCTGATCCGAGGTTATGAGGGGACTAAAAAGGTTGCGCATGCAACAAAAAAAACTAAAATCGAGTTGCTATTGGAGACTTTAGAAATAATGCCTGCCTGAATAACTCATTGGAAGAAACATTATTTTTAAGTCTCATTCACAAAACTGTCTCAAACTCACTCAAGAGTTAGTGGTTTGAATCACATTCACTCCTTCCTGATTCGGGAGTTCATAACTGAAGTCATTTATCAGTTACATTTTTCAAAAAGAAAAATTGTTAGTGTGATGTATATTTTAGGTTCATGAGACTTACATTTCTAGCGTATTCATGTACAACAACATGTAATTAAATATAAACGTCATTTCAACATTTGGTATTCTGAATTTTTTTTTTTATTTAAATAAAATAATTAAAAAATATATATCATAGGTTATTTTTTAACATATGCGGTTCAATTGTCAAGTTGAATCAACTGTAATGGAACATTTTCAAGCCCACATGTTTAAACTACAATCAACATTTATTTTCCCCAAACAGACAGAAATATTCCTTCAAGACAGAATGATACTTAAATGGCACAAGCACAAACACAATCAAGACAAAACTGGAACTTATTTATCCTAAATTCAACTAGAAAAACACATGATTTAACTGTTTATAATATAAATCCCTGTGTGGTCTATATAATGCACTAAAAACATCCCTTCAGTGTCTGAGAAATTCTGTAATTTGTGACCAAGGACCACAAAACCGGTCCTACATAAGGGTAAATTTTTTGAAATTGAGATGTATACATAATCTGGAAGCTGAATAAATAAGCTTTCCATTTATGTGTGGTTTGTTAGGATAGGACAATATTTGGCTGAGATACAACTATTTGAAAATCTGGAATCTGAGGGTGCAAAAAAAAAAAAAAAACGAAGATTTTTCAAAAATTACGTTTTGATATATTTACGGTAGGAAATTTACAAAATATCTTCATGGAACATGCTCTTTACTTAATATCCTAATGATTTTGGGCATAAAAGAAAAATCGATAATTTTGACCCATACAATGTTTTTTTGGCTATTGCTAAAAATATACCCAAGTGACTTAAGACTGGTTTTGTGCTCCAGGGTCACATTTATCAGCTAAAAAGGCATTTGTCTCCTAAATGTTTCTTTTTATAAGCCATCGTCTCACTAGTAATTTTTTTGTGTATGAAGCCCTGATTTTCTGAGATCTAGAGAGTTTGAAACACACCTATTCCAATGAACATAGCCAGAGGTGCACTAGTGCCGCTATACATCATTACACAGCCTGGAGGCCACAGTACACATACATGTCCCAAGTCTGGACCAAAAAAAACTAATTCAGAGCAACACTCATAACCCACCTGTAAATACAGCGAGATGCACACAGCCTCACACACGTACACAAACAGATGCATGTACACTTGAGGATGCACAAACACCTTAATTTGGGGGTCTTTGATGTGGCGGCTGCATGATGAGGATGATGATGAAAGCACTGTTATATTATGCAGCTTGCTGCCATTATCCAACACTACAAACAGAGCCAGACCATGGCCCGTCTTCCTCCACAATACCAGCAGTAAATATACATGTAATTGCCCAGCTGCAATTATCAGGTAAAATTAGATCAGTAATTACAGAGGTGAATTTAAGCCGAGTCTTATTAGAAGCATCAGTGCTGTTTCAATACACGACTGGAGAGGGACAATTAAAGACGGGCTGCCGTGCAGATGGACAAGTGTGCAGTTCTGAAAAAAGAGTGCGCTGGCAACAGCTATTAGACACCAAGTAGAGCTGGACCTGATCGAGGGATTTGGAGAGAAATAAAAGAGGTGAAAGAAAACAAGAGGACAAAAAAAAAAAAAACTTTCGTGCTTCACCTCATTTAGCCGTTTATTCACCCTGCGAGGTTGATAATTTATACCGGGGTCACCATGGAAACCAGCCATACACATTCACACACAATGCCCTTCAAACAAGCTAGACTGTCATTACCGACATCCTCTCGAAGTCAGATTATTAAAGCGACCTGTGACCTTCCTGAATTTCTCCCATATACTTCATGACACTTATTTGTTTTTTTAGTGGCTTTTCATAATTTCCAATGGTAAGCTCATGTTCGTCATTACCGATGGTAATCTCACCATGGCCTACAGGTTTAAACAAAGTGCTAAGGAGACTGATGCAAATTTGGGGATTGTTTGAGTTTAGAGTAAACTCTCAAACCTCCTTAGGGGCCATTCACACAGAACGCGTTTTTACTTTTAAAACTGTGAGACGCAGGTAGTGGAATGGGGAAAAAATGCAAAGTCTTGAGACGAGTTTCTTGTAGCGACGATAGCCAGAGATATCGCCTGTGGCTGATGCCTTTGATGATAAATGTGTATTTGGTATAACAGAATGTTGACATGCTTTAATGTAAAAAAAAAAAACACATTATTTTTCAAATACTGTACATTATTGTAGGTCCTCTATGCCCCGCCTCTCTCAAACACGTCGTTTTCAACAAAGCCCCCTCCTTTGACAAGCGCAGTCTGCTCTGATTGGCCGAACACCACAAGCACACGTCAGAAATGTAACACCCCTTACCATAATCGCGAGCGTCATCTTTCAAAGTAAATATCAAGACAGTTAATAATGTTGTTAGTTTTACCATCAGTTCAACCCGAAAGGGCAACAGAGTCGCGTGACAGACACAGTGATGATGCAGCACACAAGCCGCGGGGTTAAGACAGCTGACGTGCAATGATTTCTGACAGGCAGTTCACTCTCCTGTGATGTGACCCTGTTCCCCTCACACACACACACACACACAC